ATAAACCCTATTTAATTCTACGTATTAAATAAGGGAATTTGTCGGCTTATAATAAAGCAGTTTCGCAGACCAAACAAATTTCATATATTTATTAGTTTATTTGATCGAGTCTCACCCTCAAGTCTTGTGTTTATCTTTCGGGATAGATACAGGGTTTGAGGTACGATGCTCTTTCAATTAAACTATGAAAAATATGAGGTCAGTTTGATTTCATGTTTTTCTAAACTTATATATATGTAAATTAAATGTCCTTTCGAAGCGGGCAACGGGAATTCAGTTCCGGTAACCTACAGCTTCCAACGGGCAACTCCACACCCAAAATATTGCCGACACCTGCCTTTGAATAAACCTTAGAAGGGTTGATTTTGAAATCTAAGGTCAAGATCAAATGAAAATCCTTACTTCAAAGAATCCAATATTTATTTTTTTATTGATAGTCTTACATTTTTATTCATAAACACATTCAAGATATAAACCGTAATCACGTCATCTATCTATGCATACATACAAATATATACATAAGAAATGTGTTAGTATTTATCATGAAGAGATCTAATGATACGAAAGGAATAAGTCACAACAAATGAGGGCCTCCTTATAGAAGACCGGGAGGCCCGTTTATTGGATAGGATGCAAGCGCTGTCCGAGCCAATGGCAAAGAAGAAGGTCGACTGAGCCAAGAGAAGGATAAAAGGATGATAATCAACATGAATTGATTCAATCAGTCTATAATAAGACAGACAAGCATCCGACTTAAGCCCTACTAGAAATTTGATCTAAGGCAGCGATCTACCTTCCTATTGATCTGAGTTGACGAACAACCTAACTCCTTAATATCAAAAGTCATCCCACGGACGCCCCTAAGGCTGCTTTTCAAAGACCAAGTATTGACAATACAATAATGTCAGACTCTCCTCATTCATGACCGAACTACCTATCAAGTTACATTAATTCACCCTTTGCCCGATAGTCAAATCTCACTTCATAAAAAAGAGCTCATCATCAGAGGATCGAGGGCCGATATTCAGAGCAAATCAAACAATTAACAATGCGGAGCTGATTTAATCAGTCATGTCGACTCAAAGTCAATCAAACTCATATGATAAAAAATGTCGGCTCAACCTAGCCAACCAAACCTGCCTTACCAAGTTGAAAGTCAACTAGCTCAGGCGACCGAGACAGAGAGCAACCAAGCAATAGACTCATATATGTAAAATATTTAGAATATCCTATACATCCCTCATTAAAGCTGAGGAAGACATGCAACATTATTATATCGTATCATCTCACTTATAAATAGAAATATTATTTTATGAGAAAAGAGAGATAGATAAGATGTATTAGTGTTCATTACTATTCACCGCCCTCTCCCACTCTCTCCCTCTCCCCTTTCCCACGCTTTATTCCTTAGGGTGTGATTCACAGACAAACCAAATTTCAACAAATTACATATCATTTAGAGAATTCTCTTGCACATACAAAACACTCGTGCTCACTTTATGAAAAAAATATATATATATATATATTAAATCTTCAACCCTTGCCTAACCTATAATTGTGCATGAAACACGAGAAAAAAGAAGAATGCACAATAAGAGCAAGGAACCCACATTGCCTCCTTACTAATTGCTACAAAGGCATGAGTAATGGGAAACCCCCTAATTTGAGTGTGACATTCACCTTCCATGTGCTCATGACTTGGACACTATTACACATCGCTTTAGGACAGCCATATCTCCACCAACCCCACTCCTTTTCCAATTATTAATTCTTGCATCCTACTTATATTCATGCCATGCCCCATCCCCTCTCCTCCTTTGCAATATCTTTCAATTAAAGCTTATCCATTGTTCCAATTTGTGAACAATAATATATCTCTAAAATAATATATTTATATATAGAAGGAAATTTGCTTACATACCACTTAATTCTTTGTATTTACATGCCTGACAACTAGGCTTCAAGTTTTACGTGTATAAATGCTTTCTTATGCATGCAAATGTAGTATCACTTTTGAACAGTTAAACTTCAAAGATTTGGGTGGTATAAATGTAAATAACTGAGTTTCGATGTTAGATATATAAATACACTGGAATTTTAGTACAAATAAAAAAAAACAATAATTTAAATGGATTTTAATATAAATTTTTACTCCTTTTATATAAATAAAAAAAATATTTTAATATGATTATTATTCTTTACTAATTAGACTGCAAAGAATATATTTTTAATGATCATATCAATAAATAAAAATGATATTGGTTTATTTTTAAGAAGATATATTTACATATATACCCTACTATTCCTATCTATTTACATATCTACAATTTTACCAATATTTAAAAGGTGCGCTTCATCTTTTAAAATTTATTGAATATTAAAAATAATGATATTTTTATATGATATGAAATATTTGAGTGTTATAAATATAATAATTCAACATTAATTATTAGAAATGCAAATACATAAAAACATAACCACTTTATTCTAAATTTTCTTTTGAGATTTTTGTTATATGCCACTCTAATCTAAGGTATAAACTTTGGCTCGAATCCCTATATGTTGCGTCAATAATGAATGATTTAATTCATTACATAAATACCACATAATTCTCATATATTTACATTATAATATATTCTTTATATTTACATATGCATAAAACATAAATTTTTATGTCACACAAAAATATCACCATCATTAAGTTAAAAAATAAATGTAATACACCTTTTCATACATATGTTGTTAAGATGAAGGTGATATCAATGTAAATATCAACTCTAAGGGTCTGTTTGGGGCAGTTATGACTTGTTGAATAATATGCTGATAAGCTGATTAAACACCATCTACTGATAAGCTAGGTGCAATGACTATTACTATTTTTTATTTTTTATAGAAAAGTCAGACCACAGCCAGAAAGTTATCACCGCAACTAGATATGTGTGATGTGAAAACGTTGTTTTCAGCATTTTGAAAATGTATAAGCAGCCAAAACGCAGTTTACCCAAAAAGATAATGTGCATTTTCAAAACGTCACCACAACAAAAAAGCTAGCTCAAACGGACCCCAAGTCTTAGATATGTAAATGCATAAGACTCGTGTGGTATATGTGTAAATTTCCCTTATAAAAATTAGTTAAGGTTGATATAGAGATGGAGAGGGAGAGGCGGTATTTGGGGTAAGTTTATATATATATATCTCTCTCTATGTGTGTGTATTATATCATAAATTTCTTATGTGTTTATATATCTAGTTTGTAAAATACTTTATTATATACCTTCTTAAAACTCTAAGTATAATGCATTTGTAAAATAGAACATATATTAGTTTATTTAAAAGAAATGCACTAGTGTATATACGGAGGGAGAAAGTATTTTATACGGATAACCATATGTCCAGACAACCAATCATGGCAGTGAGTACACTGTGGCATTCACTACATGGTTCATTGTGATTGCTTGTCCTCACACATGGTTATATATCCATAAACAATATTTTTTCATCCCAGGAGCATATTTGCATAAATTAAGGATTAGAAGACATGCATGCTAATTCACAAGCATAAGATGTACAAACAGAGGAGTAAAAGTTGCACAACAATAAGAATAATATATTTCAACAAAATGTAGTAATACATCATATATGATTTTCCCACATGATCAATAAGAAGTGATACAGTCTATATATAGAGAATGGTAAGAAAAGAAACATACATTGTGTTGTTGTGGTTGTTAGGATTTGGGAACAACGTGTAGTGGAGAAATGATGAACGGTGCAATGTATTGTCATGATGTATATGACATTGATGTAGGAGAAACATATCATAAAAATTCATGTATGGGTTTGTGCTCTTATCACTGCTCCACGAGCTGACCAGCTACTGGTTGAATGGCTAGCATGCTTCGAAGAAACTTAAAAATGAGTTGTTGTGAGAGTTTTTATAAGTACTTCGATTGGTTGATCAGTGGAAGAGATATGCAGAACTTCAATTTCTTTGGATTTGATAGACTAACTGATAAAATTGTAATCAAATTTGATATGTTTTGTATGAGAGTGAAATATTGTGTTGTTGGGTAGGGTGTTATCACAGTATTGAAAGATGAGAGCAAGCACCAAGTGGAGCTGTCAAAGCCAAAGCAAGGAAGATCAAAGCAAATGAAACTCCGAGACAGACCAAAGACAACCGAAGATTATAAGAACGAGCTTATACAAGGAAGATTTAGCTCCTTAGTATCTCCACCCACCCAAAAGATATCCAAATGCCCCTCATCAAGGGTGGTCAAATATCAATAGTTAGGCTATATCAATTAGTCGACTCATACCGACCAAATTACTCAGCCGACCGACATTATCCCATCTAGCCGAGCTGATCTTATAGTCGACCAAGACATATCAATTTAAGCTTGGTTGGTCGACCCTGAAAGCAGCCAATTGGTAAACTCATATTTGTAAAATACCATAAATAACTTGTACAGTTCCCTTTAAAGTAGGGACAAAAATGTAATATCATCACATTGATTCTTTCTTCTATAAATTGGGAGATTATTTTGTGAATAAGACATCACTGATAGAATGTTTTAATGTTCACTTCTCTCTCTATCTCTCTCACTTTGCTTACTTACACTTTATTATTTACGTGTGATTCACGGAAAAATCAGAATTCAACATACTTCATTAAGCTAATAAAACTATAATATAACTCAAGAATAAAGCATAATTCAACGCTAAAAATTCTATAAATAAATTAAAAAAAATTTAAGTACATAATATATAAATACATAATAATCAAAATATTTTATGCATTTTCATAATAATAATAATAATAATAATAATAATAATTCAAGCCTTTATATTGATTTTTTGGACCAAACATTAATCATAAGAAGTTGAGATGAAAAAGACCCAAAGCTAACTATAATAATTTTCCATAAATCAATATGAATTTAATAACTTCAACCATCAAAATAATATTATTTTTCACCTAAAAAAATAAAAAATAAAAAACATTTAAATGCGCACCACATGCACTTCCTTCCCCACTCATACTTTCTCCATCTTCTCCCTCCTCCAAAGCCCACACCATGAATCCTCATGGAGGAGAAACCTCATTCTGCTACTTCCATCCAAAGTCATCTCTTGTGGGAGTCTGCGCTCTCTGCCTCAAGGAAAGACTCCTCAGCCTCGCCGCAAAGCAGGCCCACGTTCTTCTTCCTCAAAACCCTAATAAAATCATGCGACAGCTGAGGAGAAAGCCTTCCATTGCTCTTCCAAAGGTCTTCGCTTTAGGCTCATTCTTCCACCTCTTTGAAGCTCGACCTCAGAAGCCGGAGGAAGAAGACAAAGAAGGCTCGGTGGCCAGCAGCCTTGAAGGCATTCTCTTCTCATTCCTTGCCTTTCATTTTTCTTCCTTCTCTAAATTTCTATTTTTTTTTTTATTTTGAGAGGATAAATGAGATTCATCATATTCTACCAAAAAAAAAAGGTATTTTGTTTTATTATTAAAAAAAACTTTTTTTTTGAAGTTATATTTTCGTGATGATTAAATTAGAAATTAATGATTCGAGCTTCTAATTCAAGAGAAAATTCTCTGTTTTATGAGAAAATATTACATTCTGTAAATCGACCTTGCGGTTGACGGCATGAATCGGTGAGATCTACACCGTCATTTGCAAGTTTGAATGACGAACAAAATATTATCTCTCACCGAAGATTATTTTGAGCATCATCTTGTAGATCTCATTAATTGTTATTTCCCAAAGCTTTTGATGTAATAATTTTGCTGAACTTAATTTCATTATTTATTTATATATATACACTAAATTCTTATCTTGCTTATGACAAAAATTGATAATTCAAAATCTCTTAGAAAAAATTTATTTCTGAGGCTCCGCCTCGAACAGTGGTGTCACATTGTTGTTTTGGTTGATCGGGTAAACTGTATTTTAACAGCTCTTTTAAAAAACTGTCATTGAAATTAGCGTTTTTCCACCGCTCCTGACTATATGCGGTGGGAACTTTCTAGCCGCGGTATGATATTTAAAAAATAAATAAATAAAATTTTGTAATAGCTGTTTCAGTTTTTTGCAACATCAGATTATTTTTCAGCAGCTTCACAACAATTTTTTAATAAATTGCAACAGCCTCAAACATTCCCTATGTGTCATTGAATTTTTTACTTTATTAAAACTATTATTTTCAAAAAATTTAGTATTAGCTTTCCTTTTTTTAAAAATATATTTCAATTTTTTACATATCTAAGACTTAAACTTTCACCTTTCCCATGTATTTCACCTCTTAAAACTTTAAATAGTGGCACTTTTTATGCAATTTCAAAGCTTTAGGTGATGTAAATGTAAAAGATAAAATTTTGGTGCTTTATAAATAAGAATTTGGTGGTATGTATGTAAATGTCATTTGCAATTATTTAAATTTGGGTGATTATTTCTGTCAGATTCTTTCATATCAATAAGGTTTGAGGCTGATGGGCGCGGTTCATGGGAGAGTATGAAGAAATCAAGAGAAGGGTGGCCATGGCTTCCCAGCGGAAGAGGAGGGGATGAGTTGCAGGAGTATATTAATGGCAGGAGGAACAGTGTGGTGGAGAAATCTACGCGGCAGAGAGGGCTGAGGTGGCGGAAGAGGATTGGAGAGTTCATCCAGCTGGCGCGCTGGAATAGGTCCCGCAAGGCTGGAGCTTCTCATGCGGTGATTGTGAGGAAGGTGGAGAGAGGAAGGGGGAGAAGGGGTTGGATAAGAAGCTTGACTAGAAGGACTGTGGTCTCTACCACAGATTAGGGGGAGAGAATATTAGGAGTCGTCATGCATATGAACTCGATGTATAATATTATTGTATATTATTGTACAACATGTGTATAACAATGCTCATAAAATCGGTCTGCATGACACGAAATAGTTTTTGCATTTGAGGACCCTAATGTTGAATTTCATTGGTTTATTTGAGAGGATTTACATACATGTCAATTTACATATATAACACTAAAAAATCAACTTTTTAAAATTTATGCTACTTTAACCATGCATGAAAGATGTATTTCACCTTTTTAAAGTTAAAATGGTAATGCTTTTTTATGTGATATGAAATATTTGTGAGGTATAAATGTTAAAAAAAAAAAAAATTAGTTTTTAGATATGTAAATACAGAAGAATTGGGTGGTATGCATGTAATTGCCCTTGTTTTTTAAATAGGATGTAAAATATATGTATAAGCAAATATATTTACATATTTTTTCGTACATATTACTATGAGTAGATAGTATAATTGCATGCAAGAGCGGACTCAAGTAGGGTTCAAGGGAAAATTGCAACCCCCCTCCCTAAAATTAGATTTTAACTTATGTGGGAGAGTGATTTGACTTTTTGCCCCTCTTGAAATATCAACAATTTTGCCCCTCCCTCCTGAAATATCAATTTGTCATTCACTGCCCCAGGACGGCTCGTGCTCCCCCCCCCCCCCCCCCCACTCTCAAAACAGATATGGGTTCCGCCTTCCAACAAAAAAGTTTGTTGCGTATGTGATATTCTTATAGTAAGCATAGATTATGCATGCCAGATTGTTATAAGATCAAGGAAAGAGGGCCGTCCATCTCAACATTTTTTTATGGAAGATTTATATATTTACCACATATATGTTCATATGTATTTAAATATATAACACCTAAACTTTAACTTTTATTAATATGACACCTTATTTATGCATAAAAATATATTTTTTGCTTTTAAATAGTTAAAATAGTGATATTTTAATTGCGATGTGAAATACTTGGCATGTATAAATGTAAAAATCAAGGTTAATTTATGTGTTAGATTGAAAATTAATTGGTAAAGATCAACTGTGCTAATAGACAACGATAATCAAAAGATGCTCATCAAGTGGGGATGGTTGAATGATAAAAGTAAGACAATGGTAATTGAGCAAGGTTTTGTAGTGATGCGTAGATGACAAAGGCTGTTGATAATGATTATTATTGTAGATTGTCAATAAAAAATACTGTGTTGTTTATATATACAAGCTCTCTCCCTCCCTCCTTCCCTCTTATGATCCCATTTACTTGAAACATGTGTGTTATTCCGATTGAGACGATCTTGCTAGTAGCTAGCATTGAATAGATTTTGCTATGCAAAAATGTTGACGAGTGACTTTGACAAGTAAAATTAATAAATAACATATATTCATTCAAATAAAATGACAAGTAAATGAGGCATGCAGTATGAACAACAAAAAAGAATAATTATGTGTGTATAACATTGTAGAATTAGATGAGTATTAAGACATGAATATGTTTAATTATAACATGCAATTAGTTCCAATCCAATAAAATCATACCAATGCATAACTAAGTTGTCCATTCAATATTAATTTAATTTATGTTTATATAAGTGGTTTTAATAGATACCTTGAATTCAAGAAGAGAAAATTAAGTCTTTGGAGCTTACATACTCTTCCCCTTGAAGCAATTCGGCTCCAATTTGTTGCCTTAGTTCCAAAAGAGTTGTAGATATTTCACGATTATCTAATATTCAATCTTCCATGTTACGTCTCCATGTGACTAATTTTTCCATAGTATTATGACAAAAAGGATTAACCGACAATGAAACTGTCAAACTTCATGCTTCAACATACAAATTAGTACTTTTTCATGGCTAAAGTTTTCTCGAATCACCAATGGTTCGTGCTTGATAATATGACAGTCATTATATTGAGAAGTTATGCAATGATAGCCTCACCAAGTTGGGCGAGATGAACATGGCGGCGGCTAGGGTAGCTCTAAAAACTTTTATTGAACGAGCGGCTACAATAGTTCTTCTCTTTGGAGTCATTCTAAACAATTAAAATTTATATGAAATCAAAATTGGCTAGATAACTAACTAACAAGAATAACTTATCCCCTACCTGTCTTAAGAAGATTATGGAATGCAAGGACCATGGACGTTGATTATAAAAAATTGGTTCTCATACCACTTTATCACACCCTGGGTCCATAAGACGATATACCCCGACAACACAGGATATGATGAAGTGAATCAAACATATTTTGTATTTTCAAAATGAAGGTTATGTTCAAATAATAACATAAATAAACAAGTATAAAATTTATTCTATAATTATTAGTTCAACGATACAACTAAAATTAATGTAAAAAGCTAACTGAATCAAAATAAAAACAATAATAAGACACGACCATCAATTAAAAAAAACAATAACTGAGATAAATACTAAAAAACAAAGATAACATGAAACCTAAAACAAATAGTCGACTCCGACCACAAATAAAATAAAAAAAAAACTATTTATCGAGTCATAAATGATATGAATGATAGGTCATGCAGTACTAACAATAAAGAAAGAGAATTATGCATATATAACATCTTAGAATCACATGAGTATGAAAATGTTAATGTGCTTAATTATGAACATTTGATTATTTCCAATAAAAAAAATGATACCAGATCATAACTTAACAGTTTATTGAATTTTAACTTATTTTATATTTATATAACCGACTTTAATAAACATCATGAAATCGAGATTATTAATACTAACACAATAAAATTCATAACTCCTGTAGAGTCATCGCTCTATAAGTCTGCCGGTCCGATTAGCTAATATACAAAAGAGCTTAATTGGACTACACACAACATACCAAATTTTTCACACATATAATAGGTAAGAAATTTGATGTGTTAGATGTGTAAATATATAAAAACTACGTGGTATGTATGTAAATACCCCCATTGTCATGTAAATATAAAAATTTGGATGTTAAATAGTAAAATCAGGTTAATTGCGGCTGATTTTTGTCGACCGAAGAAACGTTCGGAGTGATGGAGGCGGGAGGGGAAGGCGAAGGTGGCGGAGGAGCCGAAAGGGTTGGAAATACGGCGGCTGTATGGAAGGAGAAGCTGGCGAGGGAATGGCAGAAGATCAGAGAGCATGCGGAGACGTATCCGTACGTTTGGGGATCGTATATTGTGGTCTATGGAGGCTTTGGTGTATACTTAACCTACAGGTGGCGGAAGCTTCGGCGGACTGAGGGCCGCATCCGCGTCCTCCAGGAGAGGCTTCGCAAGCTCGTCGAGGATGAGGAGGCCGCTGCTGCTAGCTCCGGAAGCGGTGCGGTTGCTGATCCTCAATCAGCTACTCCAAAGTCGGTTCCGATGTCGACGAAGGTGGATGATAAGCTAAGTTAGCGAATCTGAAGAGGTCTTGTTTTTGTCGAACTGTTTAAGTGGTACGTCTCCTTTCCACTTTACTGTGGGGTTTAGGGTTTTTGGAACATTGTTTCATTTTCTGTGTTTACTTCTTTATTTCCTATATCCTATACCAAAACAGCAACACCTGTGTTTACTTCTTTATTTCCTATACCAAAACAGCAACACTTTTTTTTTTTTAATTGTCCTTTCATCAATTTGAATGTTTATTTCTGCAAACAATTTACTGGATACTGGCAGGAATATGACCAAACCAAACTATAATTTGCTCAATTTTCTCAAGATTTAAGTATCCCTCTATTCAGATGCTATTAATGGTGTATCTCGAGGTGCTGCAACTGTCTATAAAAGGAGTTGCGGGGAAACATAATTTTGAAATCGTTGGTGGTATTACATACTTTGGTTTTTTTTTCCGTTTGAGAAGTCAGACAATAATTTTCTTACAGTACCACTACTCTAGTAGATGTAATACTTTGGATCAAACTTTGCATGGGATCCAATCTTATTCTCTAATAGTATAGCAAGCTACTTGGTGTATTTCCCAGATAATCAGGGAAAATGTGAAACACGAGAAAGACAATATATATTTCTGTTGGTAAAAGTAGAAAACGCTGCAGACATCAATCTCCACTATCTTTTTATACTCCCTCCCTACAAGGCTATCACCAAGTAAATATTAATAATGCTATTAAGTAAATTTAAAAGAGTAATTAAATTTACTGTGAAGGAAATTAACGAAAAGGATATTTATGCTCAGTTAGCTATTCAACTACACCAGACTCACCTAGGCTTCAGAAGAACTCAACTCGAGTTAGGAGATGGCAATGCCATTAGGAGGATTTTACTCGCAAATCTCAACATCACAGAATGTAGGAGATATTTTCAATTCAGAGGGTAAAGAAATGATATAAGCATTATCGTTAATCTTCCTTGCAATTCGAAATGGACCCAATTTCCACGGCTGTACTTTAGAGTAAGTGCCTCTAGGAAATATTCCTTTCATAGACGAACCAAAACTAGATCTCCAAACTTGAACTCCTTAAACCACTTTTTAAGACTAGTGTGGTTTTTATATGCTTGGTTACTTTGAGTGAGTTTACCTTTGACTTCCTGAATCATTGAGGAGAAATTAGTAGCTAGATATTCAATAATTTTATTACGTGCTTTAGGAAGGACCGTGAGGTCGACCATATGATTGGGTGCCTTGGTATGAACGACTCTGAATGGAGCTTTGCCAGTGGATCCATCTGGCATTGAATTGTATGCAAATTTTGCTCTACTAAGTGCTCCATCTCACTGCTTGAGAGTTTCTCCAACTAGACAATGAATCATATTATTGAGAGTTCGGTTAACGAGCTCTGTTTAGTCGTTAATTTGAGGATGGTAAGCTGAACTCATTCTAAGTTCAGTGTGTAGTCTTTTCCACAGTTCCCTCTAGAAGCAACTCATAAATTTAACATCATAATTTAATGTGAGGCTTCAAAGTAGGCCATGGAGGTGAACAATATTCGTAAAGAATAATCGTGCAATATTAAGAGCATCATAAATTTTTTTAAAAGGAATAAAATGTGGCATTTTATAAAAATGATCCACCACTACCATGACAGAGTCAAAACCCCTTTTAGTTCTTGGAAGGACTATAACAAAATCTAGGCTCAAGTCTTCCCAAATTGTTGTAGGAATTTGTATTGACATATACAAACCATCATTTTGAACATTTTTTTTGTAAGTTTGACAAGTGGCGCATTGTTATATAAAATGGCCTACATCTGTACGTAGTTTCGACCACAAAAAATGAGTCGTCAACAAGGCAATGGTTTATCCCAGCCAGGTATGTGCGGCCAATCCTCCAATATGCATTTCTTTAATTAAATGAGTACAGAAAGAAGTGTTTGGAATGCACAATTGGTTACCTTTAAAAAAAATCCTTGCTTAAGAGAATAATCGCCGAGCAGAGATTTGTATATACAATTTTTCCAAGGAGTGGCAAAGTCAGTATCCGTTGCATACTATTCCTTGATAGTTTCTGGTCCAGTAATTGAGGCTTGTAAGGAGAGTCGGAGACCAACAAGTTGGCTTTATGGCTCCGAGCTTCAACCATTTATTAGTATGACCCACTTTGTGTTTTAATACAAAACTAAATTTTTATAGAAAAATCACCCACCACACATGCATCCTGTTGAGTGTTTGAGACTGTTGAAATTGTAAGGCTTTATGATTGCTGAATAAAACAAATTCTTGGTGAACTTGATATTGTTCCCAATGCTTGAGAGCTCTCACCCCCGCATACAATTCTTGTTTATAAGTAGACCACTTTTGTCGATTGCTACATAATTTTTCACTGAAATATTCAATAGGTTTATCTTCTTGAGACAACATGACACCAATGCCAATTGTTGAAGCGTCTACTTCAACAAGAAATGGTTTATCAAAATTTAAGATAGCTAAAACATTAGTATTACACAGTTTTTTTAATGATGTCAAAGCTACCTTGTTGTTCCGAACCTCACAGGAAAGTTTTGCTCTTCAAGTAATCAATAATTGGTGCCATGATAATGCTAAAACCTTTGATGAATCTTCTATAAAAATTAGCTAACCGTCAAAGCTGTAAACTTCAAACATAGTGCTAGGAGTGGGCCAAGATCGGATAGTTGCTATCTTGTCAGGATTAGTTTCAATGTCAGTGGAGCTAACAATAAAAACCAAAAAGTGGACATTTGATACCGCAAACTCGCATTTGGAGAGATTAAGATATAATTTCTCTTGGCATAGTGTATTAAAGAGCAATGTAAGATGCCATATCTGTTCAGCTAAAGAAGAGCTATAAACCAAGTTGTCATCGAAGCATACGACACAAAACCGCCAGAGAGAAGGCTTTAAAATCTCATTCAATAGTCGCATCAACGTACTAGGTGCATTGCAAAGTCTGAATGAAAAAACTTGCCTCTCATATAATCCTCGTCGAGTTGTAAAGGCTTCTCCATTTATCACCTGGTTGGATTCAAATGGGTTGGTATCCGTTTTGTAGGTCCAATTTTTTTTTAAAAAATTTAGCTCCAATTAATTTGTTCAAGAGTTCCAACCGAGGCATTGAAAATCAAAATTTGGTGGTAATTTTATTGATGGCTCGACTATCGATACACATTAGACATTTTCCATCATTCATAGGAATGATTAATGCCGGCACTGCACATGGACTTAAACTATTTTTGATATATTATTTCTGTAGTAAATCATCAACCATTTCCTGTAGTATTCGATGCTTCTTTGGAATTAATCGATAATGAGGTAAATTTGAAAACATGGATCCAAAAATGAAATATATTTGATGCTAAATAGCACGCATACGAGGTAACAAATCAGGTAAATCATCTGGAGTTAAGTCGACACACTGCTCCACCAAAACTTGAGCCCTATTTGGCATTTCCTTAGTAGCTGGCTTGTGTTTTGCATACAAGACAACATGCAATTTGATCCTCCAACTCATAATTTTGCAGAAAGTGATTACCCGAAATAACAATGAAAGCTACAGGGTCTGAAGTGGAATCTTTCACATTGATACTGGATGGCAGCAATCTCAGCTTTCGTCCATTTCTTTCAATTATGTAAGCATCGGACCTGCCGTCATACCACTCTCTCTCATCGAGTTGCTAGGAACGACTCAAAATAACATACCAGACATCCATGTCTATTACATCACAAAGAATTTTGCAATGGTATAGTTTCCCAATATAGAATGAAATTTTGCACATTTCTTAACTTAAACTTCAATCTCCTTTCTCACCCAACTAATTTTATACGACTGAGGATGCTTTGTATTTTTTAATTGGAGAGCTTTAACAACCTTTAATGAGATAATATTTTCAGTGCAACCATTATCAATAATAAATTCACATACCTTGCCTCCAATAGTGCATCGCATCCTGAATATAGAATGCCTCTGAGTACAATTGTTACCTCAAGGAGCAAGCAATACCTTTTCTAGTATGCAGGATATAAATTCTCCTATGTCGGCTTGTAAGTCCACATCGTCAGAAGTTCGGTAACCCATAGCTGCCCTCTATTTCAAGTTCCCCTTCGAGCACTTGAAGTTATCTTCGGGTAGGAGCTTGAAGACATCTAAAACATTCACTTGGAGCTGGTTGTTGATATGCGTTATCATGATTATAGCTGGTTTTGCAATGGGATATGGATTTCGTCAATTTGGGTTGGTTGGCACTATTTTGAACTTGAAGAACATTCTGTTTTGGTTGTTGCACTCCCCTATTCTGTTCCCCACTGAAATCAACGGATCCACATCGAGAATATCGATGTTTAGGCTGTTTTGATTGCTGAATTTCTGCTTTATAAGCAAAGTTAATGGTCTGTGACGGACCAAACTGCATTCATTTCTAATTTCTCTTGAATCAATTCTTTCAAATCACCAATATATTGAGCTACTAATTGTCGTTCAGTTTCATTCAAATTATTTCTTGCACAACCTATAAAATTCTATCTTATAAACACTAACACTCTGATCATTTTGGGCATATCTTTGATACTGTAGATAAAGCATTTGCTCATAATCGGTGGGGAGAAAATTATCTCGCAACAGTTGTTTCATGCGAGCCCAACTATGAACCCTCCCACGCCCTTCACGTTTTCACGTTTGAACCAATTGAATCCACCAAGCTCCCGCTCTCCCTTTCAACCAACATGCTATATACTTGACTTGCTTCTCCGGTGAGATGTCCATGTATCGAAGAAGGATTCTACCGCTTGCTCCCAATCCAGGTAATCCTCAATGTGCAAATGCCCATCAAAATAGCGAATATCTAGTTTCACTTTGAATTCACCTTGCAGCTGATTTACCTATCCTCTTCACAGTGGGGGATTGCCCCATGTCTCATTCTTACTGTCAGAATCGAAAGCCATGATTTTTGTCTTGTGTCAATAATTTTGGCCTTCGTCTAATACAACATTAGGTTACGCCGATTTAGATCGCTGGAATCTTCTCCTGTTGGGATTCACTAGAACAGACTCTCCCATAGCTGGTATGGTTGCCAAGCATACCGGTGGAAGGAGATCTCCGCCCTTCAGATTTCGCAGCTCTCGTCGCGTCTCCACCACAAATTATTGGAAACTATGATCAATCATTCCACCGTGCAGGTAAGGGTCGTGAGCTGTATGATGTTTTTCCGAGGCAAACAGACAAAAGGCGAAACAGGAATAGGACAAGAAGATTGTATTTCTGTTGGTAAAAGTAGAAAAAGCTGCATACATCAATCTCTACTATCCTTTTATACTCCCTCTCTATAAGGCTATCAGTAAGTAAATATTAATAATGCTATTAAGCAAATTTAAAAGAGTAATTAGAAATACTATAAATGAAATTAATGAAAAGGATATTTGTGTCCAGTCAGCTATTCTATGTTGATAGGATATATTTTTTGGGGCGTTTTATTACCTGCTTTAGTGGTGAACTGCAAATTGAATGCGGAAGTTTTTAATATTTTGATTTTTGATTGATTGAAAACGAAAATTTTGATTTTTGATTGATTGAAAACGAAATATAATGTAATGTTTTGGTGAATTTAAAATTCACAACTCAGTTCAATTTTGGTGCCTTTGAAAATTGGTGGATTCAAATAATTTTCAAATATACAACACAAGTTGTTGTTGCTGCCTTCATGGCTGTGCACACAAATGTCGTCATCATTGCCCATCAATCTTTCATTGGCTTCCACCCTCCATCAGACAATGCCTCCTTATTGACCCTTGTTGCATTGGTTGTCGTCTCCATCGTCGTCACACGCTCCATGCCTGCAACTCCCACCTCTGCCGTTGTAACACATCCTATATCGGTTGCCTCTGCCTCCTTCCTTTGTCATCAAGGTTTGCATTGATTCCATATTTCGTCAGACCAAGCACAAAATAGTAATATTCACCTAAGAACTAAAAAATATTTAAATTTACTACATTTTAATTACACTGCAGTTTTCTTACTCTGAATTCTTTTTTCAACCAACCAAATGACCCTTAAAGATTTAATATTCAACTAATAATGAAAATGGAATAGGTAATGATAAAACTAGGTTTCTTTATATTTAATAATTATATTCGAAATACATTGTGAAACATTATCTCTATTTCCTTTTCTTTTTGAATGTTTTAGTTTGATTTGGGAAGGCTATAAACAATTAAAACTTTCAAGACTATCATTTTTACATCAAAAGATAAAATGGATGGGAGCATTATTTAAACTTCAATACTTTCTCTGTTTGTCCCCTTAGATCCATAATATAAGGGGTGGCCTAATCAATTTGTAATTAATTATGTATTATTTTAAAAGAGGTGTTTGCTCACTATTCTTAGGGGTAGTTATGATATGCTCGTTATATTATAGATAATATTTCTCCAACTTATATTAAGGGGTTTTTTTTTATCCATTTATATTTGAATTTTAGTAATATATTTAATTGTAAATTGTTGCATGTATGAGGGTTGATTATTCTTAATTAAATATTTAACATTTGACCTCTACACTTCACTCCCTTCTTTCATGTTCATCTCTTTCTTTACTTTATCTACTAAGATTCCACTATCTTCATTTATAATGTGTCTAATTAGATCAACATCCTTATATCTCTTAATTTTTTATTTCCTTATATAGTACCATGATTGTTTGCTATTCATTAAAGGCAATAGCTTTTAGCATGCTCATTGAATGCTTCACGGTTTATAAAACTTCTAGCTTTCTTATAATCATTATAAAAATTAATAATAATAAATATTGTCACTTTTTAATAGCACATTTCTTTTCTTTGGTAACTTTTTGTATTTCTTCACTCCACCATCAAGTTTTTTTGTATTTCTTCACTCCACCATCAAGTTTCTTTGTCAACGCATGATATATTTTTTTAAATTTTCTTAGAACTTATATGACAATATTTTTAATACAACTACACACCTTTTAGATCATTTAGATTCGTCTCAATTGAAAATTTTCAATTTCTTTTCTTGCAACCTATCTTGAATGATTCATAATTTCTCATCTTTTAGATAATAATTCCATAACGTGAGGTATTATTTCATTTGATTGTTTTCTTTATACTCTTAACTTTGACATTTATAATTACAGCTCTGTCGTATTGTCAGAGTTTTCTATATAATCACTTAAAAATTTTTGTTAGAAGTATTTCTTTCCTAGAGAGAAGTTTATTTTTGATTTGCTAGTTCCTACTTTGTAAGTGATTAGGTGCTCTCATTGATTTCTTATGCATTATAATGGCTCATCAATCTCTTATCAAAATAGTTTTTTGAACCATCTTCTAATCCAACTTGAGAATTATATACATTAATTAAACTTATAATATGTTGAGTGTTTCATTAGTAATCACCCTTACAATTTTGCTATTCTTTAAATCGTCATGTTCATTTTTCCTCCGCCCTTTCCATTCTAAATCTTCACTTAGCCTTTAGCAAATCTAATTTTAGTATTAGACCTAGATAGCTCTTGGTCATTTTTTACCATATTTGGATTATAATAATCAATACGTGGTTCTTGTTGGAATATCTTTTTTAACTATAAGACATTTATTTTTTTGCATAACATTTAGTAAAAATATATGCAAAATAAAGCTATAAATTTTTTTATAGGTACCTACACGCACACGCGCGCGCGCACACCCACACAATCACGCACTTAAGGAATGACCGGAGGCTATTATATGAGCTCTGACCATCCCTCATGCGCCAAAGAATTCAAGTATCACACTCTACGTTCGGGGGGAATCAAACCCTAGACAAGAGGGTACTTACAACTGACAAACAGATGCCCGACCAACTGATATATATTTATTGAATTATATGTACTTCTGAGAAAATTCATGTTAAGAAGTTATGTTTGATTTGAAATTTTACTCTATGTTGCATGGTGAAACTCTCTCATATAATCACTTCATAAACTTTGAAATTGTTTTTTCTTTCTTCCAAGTATCAAGAAGCTTATTTGTGATTTAGTGTTTCCTATTTGAAATTAAGGATCTGTTTGGGGCAGCTGCAACTTATTAAGTAGCTGTTGTGGGGAAGATATATGTCTGTTTGTTTTGTGCAGTTTTGCAGCACTTGTGTTGCAGCTGTTTATGAATAAATGTCTTTTTTGCACCTGTAATATTGTACTGTTTGTAATAGAATTAGTCGTGCTTGCACATTTCATACATAAAAATAAATATTCAGAATGAATATTACATAATAAAACTAACACTCCACTAAAAGTAACGCTAATCAAAATTAAAAATAAAACTATTAAAATAATAATTAATAATAATATTATTATATTATTATTTTTAAAATGCAGACGAGTAATGTCTTGAGACAATCTCTCCTATGAAACTCTTCATGTATGATCACTATTGGCGGTGAATTCATCAAACCAATCTACCCACATGAAGAAGTCACAATTTTCTATTATATTCCTTGAACTCTTGTAAAATTATTTCTCATAGCTATGTGTCTGTCGTGAAGTAAGCATAAAACACTGCAGTCTACAGTAGCAGTACAATGCTTTAGAGGCACTGAAAATCCTCGAACTCATTTTTCTGAATGTTTAAAACCACAAATTACGGATATTTAGATGTAACATTAGTAAAGAAAAATAATTGAAATACTCAATTAAAGTTTTATAAAGTTGTGAGGTCTCAGAGCACGAAGTAACAAACCAACGAATAATCTGTCACTACAAAAAGACCTTATATTTTTTTTAAAAATGGTTCTTGGCTGCCTTTAAACCATCAATACGAAGCTCTTATGTCTCACAAATGCATATCACCACAAATGTCATCCAGAAGAACCCCAACAAGCATACGATTGAAAAAAGAGGGGTGCTTGGTTGTCTTGATAGCGATTTCATATGTGTCAAGAACATATAACAACATATAAGTCATCCAACAAAACTTATAAGATTGAATGTCTCATCATAGATCTCCAAACAAAAAATAAAACATGTAATAAATAAACACGTGGAAATTTATACCCACTGTTGTCTCGAAAACCATCCACGAGGGAAAAAATATATGCAAAAGAACTGAAAATAAAAGTTGCATCAAATTGAGATTCAACATGTATATCGTTGCATAAATCGTCAATACAATAAACATTAATCATTTTCACAACAGATTGCACATGAAATAAAAAAAAAAAAAACATACAACTTTTCACCCACTAATTATGCCTTCAGTAATTTGTTTTCTCAACTCTATCTCCTCAGCACTTTTCCCATCCTAGGTATAAGACTAAAGCAAATCACTTTCAATCTGTGATATTGATTACCTTAGGCGCTATTCATATGCTTCAATAAGGGCATGCAAATGATTTTCATTTGTCATATTGATGTCTGTGTCACTACGTTAAGTTTGCTGTTGAATGTAGTTGTGAGAAGTCATTGTAGCGACCATAATCTATACTTGTTTGCTAAATGGATATGTGATCATATCTTGCAGAATAACCCATTTTTTTCTTCCAAATTCCAAATATTTTTTCAATAAGCAACGCTGTTAACTCTTTCAAAACCAAGAATGCAGTATTTGATATCCGAAATTGGTTTGAGAAACCCTCTTTGTAAATGATATTTAAAATCAACCAAATAATATTTCTCTGATATAATTATACTCATTAGTAATCCACTAAAAATTCTATTTTATTTATTCATTTTCTATCTAACCTGACGGTGCTTGGGAAAATTCTATTTTTGAATTCGCGTGACAAATTTGAATATGCGACTGTTGTGTGTACTGTCTTCCCATCCGACCATGACAAAAGTGAAGCACATGTAAAGTTACATTATAAATTAGGAACATGGAGACATCGCAAATAGTTAACAACAAGGAGAGTTTAATAGTTCATATCCCGATAATTATTGAAAGGGAACCATTGATAATTTTGATATTTTTATTGCCTGTATAAGACCATAGGAAGAAATAATTTAAAACTAGTTGTGTGATTTGTTGCGCCATGATCAATTATTCAAAAACGAGAAAAATTAGGAATAACACTTAATAAAGCAGTGGCTAAAGAGTTACCCTTATGTACTAAAAAGCATGTTAGAATCAGGGAAAATTTTGAAGATTAAAATAATGTATGCAAGTGCTCCAATTGCTCATTGATGAAAGAGACTGCATTCGAGTTAGCCGACAACTTTTGAGTTTCCTTAGCGATGGCTTGACTTCACCCACATTTAAAATTTTTCTAATTTACAGGTTTATCATGAAGCTTCTAACATGCCTATTTTGTGTGCATGATTTGTTGCAATGTTCATGCTATGGCGCTTTACGGCCTTCTTTGTCAGCATTAACTTCTTTTGACACAAAAGCTGAGTTATCCTGTTCAATCTTAACAGAAGATTCAGTGTTGCACAACATAATTTTTGTTCTGGACTCTTTATGCTTAACTTCAAAAAAGACTTTTTGAATTGAGTGCAGGGTTTCTCATTGACGATGCGACCTCATATTTCGTCAAAACTCTGATTAACGTCGACTAAGAATATGTAAACCTAATTGTTTTCCTCTCTCTTCTTGTGGTGAGCGTAATCATTCAAATTCTCTCAAATGTCATCATAGTATTGATCAAGATCCCACCATAATGTTACTAACTCGTTGTAATACGTCCTAACATCCCTGTCATTTTGTTTGGATTTCTAAAGTTGAGTTTTCAACTAAAAAATTTAGGAAGAATTCACTAAGTCTGAATAGAGATCTCGAACGACCTCTCGAATATCTCGAACAGTGGAAATGAATAAATTTGGCTTTCATATGGTAGGTTCCATGGAGTTGACGAGCTAAACCATAATCAGTGAATTTTCAAATTGCAATTTTTCAGGCTCGGATCAACAACAGTAG